TATATATATATATATATATATATATATATATAATAATTCAACAAAATATATGGATTACTACTAAAAGTCTATAAGATTGTTAATTGTGTTGAATATGAAGGGTATTGTTTTATTTGTACTAAAATGTAACTTTGGTTCCACACTGTTCACATGACGATGTGTTTGTAGAAAAATAAAAAACCTTTAAAAAAGGAATCTTCTCATTTTTATGAAAACAAATTAAACTAAATGATTTCCCTGTGTTCACTCCCCGCAAATAAATAGTAGAAACGACTGTCGAGATCTTATATCCAAATGAATCAAACTGCTCCAAAATAATATAGAAAGAGTTAGTGCAGAAAAGGTTGAGAGTCCTATCAGAACACCTGGCGATTATTTCAAAGCTAAACACAAGTGACATTTCCTATGTTTCATTATATTTTTTTATGACTATTTTATCTGAGTGTTGTCCTAGATTTTACTTGTACGAATGAAAGACAGCACACATTTTTAAAAAAATAATTTGATATTATAGCAATAGCACTTAAGACTTCACAGTGCTTTAAATAGCACTTAAGACTTCACAGTGCTTTAAAGCCCACTCTAACCGGTTTACGGAGTCAGCATCTTGTCCCCAACAATCTCATTTTACCGACCTCGGAAGGATGGAAGGCTGAGTCAACCTTGAGCCTGGTGGGATTTGAACTGCCAAATTGCAGTCAGCTGGCAGTCAGCAGAAGTAGTTTGCAGTAACTGCACTCCAACCACTGCGCCACCAAAGCTCATATTATCACCTCTGAGAGGAGATTCTTGACTGGAAAAAGAAAAAAAAAAGACTGCTCCCACAAATAAGAGCAAGAACAAATGATATAAATGATCAAATTTGTGGATTTTGGCTGGTGGGTTTTCAAAGAGCCTTCTTCCCTCCAGGTGTTTTGGGTGCAGACAAAAGTTTTAGATGAGTAAACAAGAAATGTTATGATAGTAAGTTTGAGGAAGAAGTAAAGCAAGTATGAAGCTTTTTTAAATCCAGGATTGACTCTTGTAGGGCAAGGAAAATGGTAGTAGCAACTAGGTCATTTTCGAAGCAGTCATGCACGATGCTTTGGGTGTTTCTGGCCCAGAGGTGGTATTCAGCAGTGGCTGTGGGAGCACTGTTCATGCGCAGAAGGTGGCATTTATGTGCAGACGAGAGTGCGCTCAAATTTGTGAACCAGTATGGAAGGTAAGTAAATCCCACCTCTGTTCTGGTCCCATGTTTGCTATGTAATTATACTTCATCCATAATGGAAGATTCTGACACTCATCATCTTCCATTCAAATCTCTGTCTGGTTTCCTATAAATCCCCCCCTTCCATTTTTTACCTCAGTTTAAAAAAAGGCCTGTTGAAGGGGTAGAGAATTGAAATATCTGCCTAGAAGCACCCTGAGCATCTATGATCTGGAAAGCAGCTAGAAAGGAAAGGAAAAGGACTTGCAGGAGCAGGGGAACCAACACAATCTAGAACATGCCGGAAAGGGAAGGTAACACCATACCAATGGGCAAGGGGCATCCAGCCCGTCCAGCCCTGGTAACCCCGGCTCACCCTTCTCGCCTTTAAAACCTCGGAGTCCCTGTTCATGAAATCAACCGCTAGAATTACTTTAGACAGTGTAGATGATTTTCTGGGTGGAGAAACTCTGCAAACAATTATGTATTCAATGCACTCAGCTTACAGCCTTACAGGATATCTGGATATCATGGTGGGAAAAAAAGACAAGCCATTTTTTGTTTTGTTTTCTGGAATAACCAGACAGTAGGGCTTAATTGTAAAGAATTGGGAAATATGCTTTCTTTCTGGATACCGAAGGTTAAAGAATCAATGGTAAAAGTTTCTACAAAGTGGTCCACGTTTGAAATTAATCCCCATAAGCTTTAAACAGGAGTGGGGGAGGGATGGTGTTTAAAAAAGACCATTAATAAAATAGTTTTGTATCAAGTTCTCCTTTTCTTCACACCACGATCATTTTGTGGTCTGCTGGGATCATAAACTGAGTGCATTACATCATTATCAACCAGACATTAATTACATCATTTATGAACCAATCATGGGAAAAAAGAAGGCATTTTTTTTAGATTATGATTTAGGCATGTTCACCCAATAACTTACAACCTCAAGTGGGGACTTGAACATATTGCAGATCCAATTGCAGTCCACAACTTTCATATTGTGTCCTGACACAACAGTGCAACACAATTTACCTAGTATAGCTAAGCCACTCAAACTTCAATTTGCAGATGAATTGGCCAGTGAAGAAAACTTAAGTTTTTCTACTTTTTTTTGGCATCTAGGTGCTTCGCAAAATTCATTTATATTTCTTTCCATACCCAACTTTACAGATGAATAAAGTCAATCTTGTAACGCAAGCAATTAAAAGTAAAGGTTCCCCTTGCACATATGTGCTAACTGTTCCTGACTCTAGGGGGCGGTGCTCATCTCCGTTTCAAAGCCGAAGAGCCAGCACTGTCCGAAGACATCTCTGTGGTCCCATGGCTGGCACGAAAGTTGGTTCAAAATAGGAAACTAGGAATTGCATTTTTTATGTGCTTTCGAACTGCTAAGTTGGCAGAAGCTGGGAAGAGTAATGGGAGCTCACTTAGGTACACGGCACTAGGGATTTGAACTGCTGAACTGCTGACCTTTTGATCGACAAGCTCAGCATCTTAGCCACTGAGCCACCGCATCCCTATGCAAGCAATTACTAGTGCCCAAAGATGCTTTTACAAAAGGCAACTGGATTTTCTTAGTTTTTTCCCCCCTTGAAAGCATTTCACTTCTCATGAAGTGAAATGTTTTCAAGGAAAAACCCAAGAAAGTCCAGTTGACTTGTTGAAAAAGCACCTTTGGGACAACCAGGATACATTGAGAATCTCCATAGACAAATTACTAGTGCCTTTACTCCTTCTTTTTTCCCCTGTGGTTTAGTTTAAAACAATACATTGGATAAAACGAAACATACCAATGGACAGGGTGCGTCTAATCCAGGTGCTCCTTGGTCTCCCTTATCCCCTTTAGGCCCTCTAGAGCCTTTCTTGCCCCTTTCCCCCTGTGAATAATAGTTTATTAAAAATAAAATACATAAACGGACCATCCAATCCACGTTTGAGTTATAGAAACAAAATATAACATGATAAGAGTAATCACGCTAGAGGCTTCATTCTTTAAACTTTTGCAGGAAACAGTTTTTGCACGGACACTGGGAAATTTTTACTTTTGCGTTGAGATGAATAGCACTTTAAGCCACATTTAAAATTTCAGATTAGAAGAGGGAAAGGGATTTGTTCGTCCCATGTTCACACCTCAGATGGGGAAAGTGAGGCCAAGGTGTTAGAAAGTCATGGCAGGGGAACAATAGATTCCCGTGCTTTTCCAGCATTCGTTCTCTTACACTTGGTGGGAACGCCTGGTCTAAGGAAGTACCCAAGGAGATAATAAATGATTTGAGTTCATGGAAATCATTGGTCTTCTTTTCCCCCTGGTGGTCAGTAATAAGCAAAAAGAAAAGAAAAGAAAAGAAAAGAAAAACAACTGTAAGGATATGTTTCTAGATTCTCTTTTCTCCCATGATAAATATATCAAGCCTGATTCTTTGGAATCCTGAGAATGGGAATGAGAGGGAGTGAGCAGTGATCGCACAATATTACTGTCACTGGACATATCTTCCCACCTGTCAAACACGAACAGATCAGCGGTGGGATTGAAAAATGTTAGCAACCGGTTCTCTGCCCGGTTGCTGGGTGGGCGTGGCCATGATGAGTGTGGCCTACTTGGCTTCCTGCACCACGGCTCCTGGGGTTTTTCCTGAGCACCCGGGAGGGCAAAAACGGCCTCCCCGGGCTCTGGAGGCCTTCTAGAGGCCTTCCGGAGGCCGGACATGGGCCTGTTTCTGGACTTCTAGAACTTCCGGGACGCCCGTTTTTCACCCTCCCAGAGCCTCCGTATAGGGCAATAAACTTACCTGGCATCCAAAATAGGCCATGCGGAGACTTCTGGGAGGGGAAGAGCAGGGTGGGCAGGGCCAGTCAGTCCTTTCAACTACTGGTTTGGTGAACCAGATGTAAAATTAGCATCTGGTTCATCCAAACAGCCTGAACTGGCTGAATGCCACCCCTGGATAATCCCCCCTCAGCAATTTGCCTACCTTGGGACTTCTGCCTTGGGTGGGGATTGGATTAAAAGACCTCCAAGGTCTCTCCCAGCCCTATGATTCTATATGTGTGTCTCTTCTTTATCCCAGCTTCATTTCAAGTTAAGGATAATGACTGCTGGACATTTTCTCATCAGCTGATTAGTTTCTTGGAGGAAGAGAATCCATCAATCCCTTTCCTTAACATGTCCCACATACTGTAAAGAAAAACACTGCTTTTACCAGCACCTTCTTGACAGGGTCTAGGACAACTTGCTGTAGTCAACTCACCAGGGCCAACTTGCCATGGGCATCTTGCTGTGGCCCACTGGTAGTGGGGCAACGTGGCACAGCCAACTCGCTGAGGGACAACTCACTGCGGACAATTCCAAGCGGGATAACTCAACATGATAAATGTTACTTGTGACTGTTCCTTTGACATTATTTCCATTGACAAAAATGTGAATAATGTTGAAGAAACACTGGAAGATAACATTTTATCACCTTGAGTTGTCCCACCTGGCATTGTCCATGGCTAATTGTCCTTTGGCAAGTTGGCTATGGCAAAATGGCTGTGCCGAGATTGCCACAGATGGTTGGACATGGTGAGATGGCTGTGGCAAGATGGCCGCAGTGAGTGGGCTGTGGTGAATTGTGCCATTCCATTCTTGACATGATGGAGACTGCCAATGGGGACACCAAATACTATGCAGGTATAATTTCCTGCTAACATAATATGAATGGATGGCCCTTTAACTGAGACATTTAAATACCCCACAATCTGATTTGTGTATATTCGGTATGGACTAGGGGTTAAATGCTACCGGTTTGGACCAGTTTACCCAAACCGCTAGCAAAGGTAAATTGATTTCACTCCTTAGTATGGACCAATTATAATTGGACAGATCAATGACTAATATTAGCCCCATTTTTTTCAAGAAGAAACATAAAAGGCATTTTTAAAGTCGACTTCCTGAAAAGAATGCAAGCTAATGTTAGCGCTGAACTGTTATTTTAAAATGCTCAAAATATCAGTTTTTAAACTGATGGGAAGCCAGGGCCTATTGTGATTTTGATTTCACAGGAGAGGTAAGTTAGCAAAGCAATTTAAATCCGTGGTGTCCTATTTAACTTCTCGAAGTTGAACCTCAATGGGATAAAAATAGACTGTGGGCCTGATGCCAACTTCCTGTATAAAGCTGAACAATCACCTTCAATGTCTCTGAGGTCAGTCTATTTTGAACAGAGCCAACATCAAGCCAAGGACCAATATTTAGGAAGAGAATGATATTCCCTTCCTAGACCAATTTAGAATGCCAGTAACATATGCAAGTTTTTGATAGCGTGCTTGTGGATATACAATGTAAGTGGGACTGCCGGGAAGGAAATTTCATTTAGTATTTGGTGTAAGGATTAGATGACAACATAAAATTAGGTTGAGGTAGATTTTCCCATTCTTGTTTTTAATTTTGGAGGGGGTGAAATGAACGGGATTGAAACAATTAGCTGGCAGGAGGGAGAAAAAAAAATGGATGGGAAAGGAAAGGTCACCCAGGATCAAACGCTGGCATGGAGGAAGGATAATCCAGGAAGAAATGCAGAATGGGTTGCGCAGGAAGAGGAAGAAGGACTCAGGAGAAAAGGCAGAAGAGCAGGAAGGGATAAGGGGGACCTGTGGAAGCAAGGAAAAGACACACGCGCAAACACACAAGTAGACAGGAGAAGAAAAAGAACAAATTGAATCAACAAATTCCACTTGAACAAATAGCTTAAGCACTGATATTTTTTCAGTTGGTTTGCTCCAAGAACCTTCTGCTCTCCCTACCACTTATTATGTGGACCATACCCTTTCAACTGTGTGGTGTTAAGAGATTATTGGATCCTTCAGAGGTAACAATGGGCTGGAACTGCAGAAAAGAAATGCCCAGCTTTCAAGCAAGGCAATTTGGGGTAAGAATTAAACCTGCTACTGTGGCCTAGAGGTGGCGTTCTCACCTCACAATCAGGAGGCTGTGAGTTCGATCTTAGGTAGAGGCAGATATTTCTCTCTCTCTGGGCGCAATGAGAATATATCTGCTGAACAAAACTCCACATTGGTGACAGGAAGGACATCTGGGCAGTAACACTCTACTAGCTCCATTCAATTGCCCAGACTCCTCCCCACAAGGGATTATGGGGTCATTAAAAGAAGATGATGAATTAGAACCTGCTGGTGGATCTCTCTCCCTCCTTTGCTGGTTCTTTCTGATTGTTTTCCTACCAGTAGAACTTGAATAAAACCACCATGAAGGAGAGAGCACCAGTGTCTAATTAAGGGACTTGAACTATCTGGATTTTTTTCCCCACCAGCTTTTCATGCAGCTTTCACAAATACTGAACCAGTCCAGCATGATGAGCGCAGAATTAGACTACTCCTACATTTCCAGGACAATGTCTCTATTTCTGGGAAGCTAGATTGCCTTTATGTGTGTGAAAAAAAATGGATGTGTACTAAGCATTAGGCTTTTTAACATGTAAAAAAGACTAGGGACATATTTTCAATATTAACTGACTAAGTGACTATTTCTGCATAGTAGATGTTTGGTCTAATAATTCAAACCCTTCTATCTATCCTGTTTCCCTGAAAATAAGACCTCCCTGGATAATAAGCCCAATCGGGCTTTTGAGAGCATGCGTTAAAATAAGCCCTCCCTGAAAATCTTGCAACACAGTAGCAGCCATGAGATGACCATGCTCACCACCTCCTGCACCCCAAAAATATTAAGACCTCCCTGAAAATAAGGCCAAGCGCTTATTTCGGTGGTCAAAAGAAAATAAGACCCTGTCTTATTTTCAGGGAAACACAGTAATTAGTTGGTAAACATACCACCCACACAGACCACAATATGGTTTTCTGATCCTAGTAAATGTCCTTGCATTTTTCCCTCCTTGCATTATGAGCCATAGCTAAAGCAAGTCTAATTTCTCCCAGTAGCTTAGTCCAATTAAACATATTCTTTCTTTCCAGATTCATCATCCAGCTGGACGGCGGTTTATCTGATTCGACCCAAAGTCTCATTAGTCAACCAATTTGCTGGAACAAAACCCAAACTATAATTAACAAAGACTGGATGTTGTGTTTTCAAATTCTATACAAATTAAAAACCAACTAAAAAAACACCAGGGTGTTGCTAGGTTACTTAGCACAGAGCCATTCTGATATTACAGGCTGTATTTATATCTAGAAGAAATTACGGAACATAACTAGAAGTAGAATGATTAATACGTGATGTCAATGGGATCAAAGTGAACCAAGGCAGGTTATATGTCTAATTAGCCAACAAATGTTTATTGCAAGTTAATTTTAAGTTTAACAAAGGCATTCCTGATACTTATTCCAAACTTTTTATTTGCTTTAACCAAACAGTATTGTTGTCAAAAATCACAAAAACCTATGCAGCTTATTAGAATGTTATCTATTCTATGCCATAAAAATTAATCATTCTACCATTTTTAAAGACCAAAGTATATACACAAACTTAATTGAAGACTTACCCGATTTCCTTTTTCACCTGGTGGTCCTTGGAAGCCCTACAATATATTTTTACAAATATTTTATGTTCAAGATATGCAGAATTAGATATGCAAATAGTCCATTTGCCTCAAACCTGTAATTGTTGTGGAGATCCAGAAAATGTACCCTCTAATAATCTATATTTTCCCAGATATTCTGCCCTAGAACTCCAAAAAGGATCCTTCTCTAATTTTGATTTCTCACCTTGTGGGTTTATCTCAGTGGTGCGTTCCGTATCCTGTTGCAACCAGGATGGTGCAACAGGGCCCAGAGTCCACCACATGAACGTGCACAGCACATGCGCAGTGTGCACATGCTTACTTACCACCTGTGACGCCTCCACATTGTTCAAGCTGCTCGATGAAGCATTACGCAGGCGCTGTATGCTCCGTGCGTGTGCGCAGAAGCCCCGAAGAGCACAAATACTGGTAAGGAGCGCAGGCGGGCGGGTGGGCCTTCTGGAGCACCATACCGAAATGGTACCTGGTGCTCCCAGCAGGCACCAGTATGCCAAAACTAGGGCATACAGGTCGTAACCCACCACTGATTTATCTGCATGAACATTTTTCCCACCTCTGAATTTAAATAAAAGCAGATTGGCAAGGAAATGTTTATTTTTGAGTCTTACCATTTCTTAGCAAATAAAGCAGAACATTGTTACTGTTTGTAGGGAAAGCATGTAAAGCTTCTAGTATAGTGATCTTCAACCTTGGCAACTTTAAGCTGTGTGGATTTCAACTCCCAGAATTCCCCAGCCAGCATCCTGCTCTACAGTGGTGGAATGGGTGTGGCTTGGTGGGCATGGCATGCATTGGTGTGTGTCAGGGGTGGGCTCCGGCAGGCGCTACTGCCAGTTTGCTCATGTGCATGCTGCGTGCACTTGATGCAAGCCAGGCACACATGTGAAGTGCAAAAAAAAATGTTCTGCACATATGCAGAAGTGAAAAACAAGATGAGAACCAGTTCAGGGGTTTGGCAGGCCTGGGTCGCTGCCAATTCCAGTGACCCAGGCCACCAAACCACTACAGGTTCAACTGAACTGGTAGGAACCCACCACTGGTGTGCGTGGCTTAGTGGGCGTGGCAGGGGAAGGATATTGTAAAATCTCTATTCAAATCTCTCTCCAAGGGAAGGATACTGCAAAATCTCCATTCGCTCCTCACTCCAGGGGAAGGATACTATAAAATCTCGTTCCCTCCTCACTCCAAGGAAAGGATACTGTAAATCTCATTCCCTCCCCGCTCCAGGGGAAGGATACTGCAAAATACCCATTCCCTCCCCACTCCAGGGGATACTGCAAAATCCCCATTCCTTCCCCATTCCAGGGGAAGAATACTGTAAAATCTCATTCCCTCCCGGCTCCAGGGGAAGGATACTGCAAAATCCCCATTCCCTCCTGATCAGCTGGGACTTGGGAATAGATGGGGCGGGGCCAGTCAGAGGTGATATTTACTGGTTCTCTGAACTACTAAAAATTTCCATTATGGTTCTCCATAATTGGGCAGAACCTGCTGAATACCACCTCTGCTGCTCTAGCATGTTCAAAAAGACATCCCAATAGGAGGCAATTGACACAAAATGAAAAATCCTGTGAGAGAAATATTGGCTCTATACTTACGGGAAGGCCTGCTGATCCTATCGGTCCTGTAGAACCAGAATCTCCCTTATTTCCCTGAAAGAGAATTAGGAAGACCGAAATAGTTATGAGTACTAGACAGAGAGTACTGTTATCTCATCATCAGCGAGGGTTCAATTATTCATAAATTAATTTTTAATAACTGTGAGTTGTACTAACTGGAGCCAGGTGAAAAACAGCAGCTTGGAAACTGGGACAATTATAGGAGTTTTGACTATAAATATCAGAGTCTTTGTAGTTCTGGAAAGTCATAGAGGGCTGAATGGGGGTGGGGGGGACACAACAGATTTCGACTGAACCATGGCAAGCCAAATGGCGTTGGGTACACAGAGCCCCAAGATCCATGACATTGACTTCTTTAGTTCTGGATGGGGTGGTACTACCCCTGATGGATTCGGTCCAGAGGTGGGTTCCTACTGGTTCAGACTGGTTCGGTTGAGTAGGCAGTAACTTGGCCGGACATGCCCCCGAACCTGTTCTATCAGCGGTGCCAATTTTTAACTTCTGTGCATGCTCAGATAGCACGCATCAAGAATACATCAAGTCCGTCCCCCCCGAGCACACCGTCAGTAACAGAAACCGGAACCCACCCTGATTCTGTCCACAATTTGAGAGTTCTCTTGGACTTGAAGCTCCTGCTCAAAGAGCAGGTGGCAGTTGTGGCTAGGAGAACCTTTACACAGCTTCAAAGTGTGCACCAGTTGTGCCTTCTCCTGTGTCAGGAGTCCCTGCATTCAATCATTCAAGCCCTTGTCATCTCGCACTAGGACTATTGCAACACACTTTAAATGGGAATACCCTTGAAGAGCATTTGGAAGCTACAGCTGGTGCCGAGTAGAGCGGCATGGGTAATTCTTGGGCCCCCAAGGTTGGTTCATGTAATACCATTGCTTTGCGAGATGCCCTGGCTGTCAGTTTGCTTTCGGGTGCAATTCAAAGCATGGAGAAACATGTTTTTAGGCAGGAAGCTGACTCACTCTTAATAGCCTCTCACCTTTGTCAATGGGGCATTTAAAGGCCTGAGCCAGTCTATTCTACATAAGAAAGATCTGCCCCCTTCAGTTCCAGGATGATGGGATTAAGGCATGATAGTATTAGACCTTTACCCATCTCACCACAGGGCACCTGGGAAGAAGCAATGCTCAACCAAACGTGGACTTACAGCCTACAGAGTTGCCCCTGCATGGCTCCATGGGAGTCTGACAACCAATTAGAATATAAGCTCAGGTTAAAGCCCAGAGAGGGCATAAAATCATGAACTTTCAGCATCTCAGTCTCTTTTTCTTTTTCACCCAACATCTGGAAGCATGTGACCTCCCCTTTTCTGTTCAGGAATTCAAGGCATGTGATCCTGTCCACCATTAAATGATCTTTCCAAGCAGCCTCCATGTTTCCAGTGTCTTTCCCCCCAATTGGAACTGAACCCTGAAGGACATTTCTTCCAACAGTGGCATGGGTCCAGATTACCCAAATCTTTTCCAACCTTTCTGACTTAGAGGACTAGGGGAGGGGGGATGATTCTGTGTAAGCGGTGGACAAGTGTGCACGCAGCTCCATTTGTGTGAGTGGTTCTCCTACAGGGCTACCATCTTGATTTTCGGTTCTGCGCATGCACAAAATAATTGTAATTGCACAAATGTACTTCCCCCCCCCTTTTTAAACATTTTGCGCACGCACAGACCTATTTTTGTTCAAATGTGCACACGCTTAGAGCTCGTGCCTCGGTATCATTAACATGTGTGTAATATCTCTGATCACAGCTGTCCTCTAAAGGATTAAACTCCATCCCAAATTATTTACACATGATAAATCTGTTTAAGATAGAACACTCCAGGTAGCATAGACTAAAAAAACTATTTCTTGAGCACTTCTGTCCTCATCTGGATTAAGTTGCAATTTATTAATTCCTTCTCTGAATATTGACTCCATACATTGCCTCAGAACATACCCAGCTACATAGCAAAAAGGAAGCACAACAGTGAATATCAGTTGCTGATGGATGAGTTCAAAACCCCTGCTTACTAATGTCTTTACTTTCTTATTTCTGTTTTCATTCTATCCAGTGGTGGGATTACCACCAGTTCACAACTGTGAGAGCGCACATGTGCACACTCGTATCACATGTTGCTCACACACATGTTGCTCACACACATGGCATGCACACATGTGCACAGCATCGAAAATGAGGCTACACAGGACAATTTGGAGCCAGGGCGGGTTCACCTGCAGTTTGCTGCTACTGGTTCAGGCAAACCGGTCCTATGTGTGGCATGAATAAAAATGAAGGGAGCTCCGATCAGATCACCATGAAAGCTATCTTGATTTATTAGGTTTTTTAAAAAAAATCATAACCTGTAGTTATCTCTGAAATGATAACAGAGAATAGTAAATTAACATTCCCGTTATTAGTCAATTCTGGTGATTGTAAGGATTATGCAGGATCATTATTTTAAGCATGGCATTAGTTTCCTTTTTATTTATTTTATTTTGCTATTTGTTTACAAAATATTTCTCACCCTCTCTCCTTTCGGTCCTGCTGGTCCTGGGACACCTGCTGGTCCTGGAGTACCCTGAATTTTTTGGGTAAAAATAAATACATAAAGCCCATTATTCAAACATATTTCAAGCAGGACAAGATGATGATTCCTCAACAGAAGAAGAACTAAGAAAAGGATGGAAGCTATTCACGTAAAACATGACAACTTTTGGAGTTGAAGAAGATCTCTCTATATAAAAATGGCTGTGTGTCTGTGTATGTTCCAGCATAACTCTGGAATGCCTTGAGCAATTTCAACCAAACTTGGTACACAGATGACTTACTGTCTGGAGACAAATACTGTGGTGGTAAGACACCCATAACACCCCTCGGGGTGTGAGTTCTGTTAAGATACAGCCTGTTGTGCCTTTAAATGGCTTCTACTGTACTGCTATAAAATGTCTTCTACTGTACAGTGCAGTAAAGTTGCCATGGTAATGGCCTCACAGTACTCTACAAGAGAGTACCCCTAGTAAGTCAGAAAATCCAACATTAGAAATTACGTTTGGTCTGGACATTACCCCCCTATAAATAAATACCTGGGCAATGCTGGGTATTAGTTAGTTACCATATTTTTTGGAGTATAAAACACACCTTTTTCTCCCCAAAAAGAGGGCAAAAATTTGGGTGCATCTTATACACTGAATGTAGCCCCCACACCGGCTCCCACCCTTTGGCCTCTGCCTCCCAGCAATCTACCTCTTTGCAGCAAATGGGAAAAATGGGGCTTGTGGAGGCTGTAATAGGCTAGAGCAATCCCTGCAGCCTGAAACAGCTGATGATTGAGAGGCTCTTAAACTGAAAGTAAAATTTGCTGTTTGCTGCACGAGGCAAATTGCTGGGAGGCAGAAGCAGATTTTTTTCCTTGTGCTAATCAGGCTGTTTGCTGCAAGAAGGTAAGTCAATAACTATAAATGCCTATAGAATTTTCAAATTATTAGACTTACTTTTTAAAGACTGCTTTATTATTGTTCTAGACAGCTTAACAAAACGAAGAAGCTTTTTAAAATAAATGCTTGATCTGAAGAGGCCCAGTGCTATTGTATCTTCTTTTAAATAGCAGAAAATAACTATACTTCCAGAAAGCACATCGATTTTAACAGCATCTGTACAAGTATAGTCTGGAATACAATACAACACAATACAATAGCAGAGTTGGAAGGGACCTTGGAGGTCTTCTAGTCCAACCCCCTGCCTAGGCAGGAAACCCTATACCGTTTCAGACAAATGGCTATCCATCTTCTTAAAGACTTCCAGTGTTGGGGCATTCACAACTTCTGGAGGCAAGCTGTTCCACTGATTAATTGTTCTAACTGTCAGGAAATTTCTCCTCAGTTCTTAGAACTCAGTTCTAAGTTGCTTCTCTCCTTGATTAGTTTCCACCCGTTTCCACCCAAATGTAACACTACAAACAGTGTATAATTGTCTGTACTGTTTGCTGTTTTTTACAAGGAGGCAAATTGCTGGGAGGCAGAAGCAGATTCCTCCCCCCTGTTTTTCTCCCCCAAAACTAGGTGCATCTTATACTTCAGAGCGTATTATACTCTGAAAAATACGGTATATATAAATGTAGGATTCTTGTCTGAGTGATTAGGAGTAAAGGTAGCAAATGACAGTCCTTTAGTTAATGAGATGAAACATTTAATCCTTTCAGCTTCAATTGCCAACAAAGCTGAAATATGTCACCGATGATAGTTTTAAATAAATTTTATGAAAAATTGAGTTGGGTGATAGGGAAATTTTTAACCAATTTTTTTTCTAAGAAATTCATCTTGCAGATCGATAGATCACCATACTGAAAACATAATGCAATTATATTAACAGAGCCAGCACTACATGGAGGACTCATTCAGGCTCAAGTCTTATATTCACCAGGTGCTAATTTTGTACTACTTCACTAGAGCAGGAAAGAGGGAACACCCAATGGGAACACTCTGTTGCTAGCTCACAGGTTGTTGTTTTTAGTTTTTTTTTTTTATAGTCAAGCATTCTTAAATTTAAATTGGATTTTGGTAGCTTGATCCATCTTCTGGATCAGTTTGCAAAATCAGAATAATTACATTTTCCCTGGTTGTACCACTTCAAGTTGCAGCTGGGAAGAATGATTGTTTAAACCCTTGCCTGGTAAACGAAAGCTTCTTATTAACTACTCTTTGGCTTCTCTGAATTCACTGAGAATATTAAAAAGGTTCCTCTGTTGAAATAAATAATCCTTTACTTTAGTAGAATTTTTCTTTTTACTCTCCCCCACCCTCTCCCCGTAACACTATTCACAGATGTATAGCACAGCTCCTGGCAAGGAAGAGATGCCTTGAAAGAGTGTTGAAATGCACTGAGTCTAAAAGAAATGTACTTTTAGACTTGCAAGATTGATGTCAGCCTTACTAGATAACCCAGACAGGAAACATGGCAAAAGAGCTACTTCTACTTTGTTGTAAAAGTACAATAGTAGAACACTGCAAGTCTAAAATGACATTACTCTCCTCACCACCCATCTTCTTTACAGCTGTAGAAACTAGGGAGAATCTCTGCTGAGCATCTTTTTCGGGTCTAGGACAAGATGGCATAGCCAACTTGGTGTGGTCAACTCACTGCAGCCAACTAGCACTGGGACAACTCATCCCGGGGCAACTCACCATGGGACAAAAGTTACGCTACTACCCTGTTTCCCCAAAAATAACACTTCCCCAGATAATAAGCCCAATTGGTCTTTTGAGTGCATGCGCTAAAATACCCCCCCAGAATAAGCCCTCCCCAAAAATATTGCAACACAGCAGCAGCCATGAGGTGATCACACTTGCCGCCTCCTGCACCTCAAAAATAATAGGACCTCCCCGAAAATAAGGTGAAGCGCTTATATCAGCGGTCAAAAGAAAATAAGACCCTGTCTTATTTCCGGGGAAACACGGTATCAAAGAAATGGTGGAATAGAATCATTCCAGAAATAATAATGCAAAAGGAAGGACACATGAAAAGTAAATGACACCAATCAAAATAATGTTTTAATTATTTTAAATACTTCAACTGAATTGTTGAATTGTCCTTCAGTGAGTTTTCCCATGGTAAGGTGGCTGTGGGGAGTTGTCCCATTCTACTCTTGTTCCTCCCATTATCCAGCTGCAGGCTACCTCTTGACTCAGTTTTCCAAGGGGCTTTCCCATACACAGTTACAAATATTATGTACTGTAGCCAGTGGTGGGATCCTCCCAGTTTAACAACCGGTTCGGTGATCGCACAATTTTCTGTGTGCGCAATTTGAAGAAATCTTCACTTTTGGGTTTCTTCGGAGGAGTAACACAGCTGATTCGCACAGCAATTTGCTCTGCTGTGCAAATCAGCTGAGAAGATAAAGGCAGGAAAATAGCGTGGGTGGGCAGGTGGCCCCATCTGATTGTCAGAGCTACCAGTTCAATCCCACTCCTGACTGTAGCATATTATACTCAGTTGTTTTGCACTGGAGGCTTTTAAGTTAGCAAGGGTGAAGAGAAACCACTTTTTGACTTAACGGAACCAGAAATTTCAAGAACAAGAGACATGAAAATTTGGGGTGGGTATTGGGCAAGCAATCAATTGAGATATCTTTGCATACATATTGTTATTATATAATATTAAATTTAACTTAATAAATTCTGCCCCATAGCTCCCTTCCAAGGAGCAAACAACAACAAATGCATTCAATTATAAAAGTGTATTTTGTAATTTCAAAAAAATAAGATTATAGGGACTGGGTGAAGTGGTATGAAACCTGATAGAAAGAATTGTCCATTTCTAAGAACCTGAAAATTCTTTGAGGGGAGAAAATGGATTAATCAATTGGATTGAAATACTGATGAATAAAAAAGAGTTTTTAATTCAAGACAAGTATTTTGAGACAGCTAACCCCATTAACATAGTCAATAATTCCAATATATTTTAGCTACATACAATAGCTAATTCCTCATGCATATCCTGCATTTTACCACCTTTTGCATAAACAAGGTAACACCATATTGCTTTCATAATAATTTAATGGGCAAAGAAAGAAAATGGAGTAAAGAAACCTGTATTTTTTTCTCCAGCAATCTTTTCTTCAGCTCAAATAATTTTTCATATCTACTTTTGTCTTTGAGCACGTGGGGCATGATGAATAACTATTTGAAAATAACTGGCAATGTGAATTTGGTTATACCCAAACTAGAAGTCCAAAGTCCTGAAACAGCAATTGTTGTTAAGCCACCAGCCCATAATTTACTTAGATCCACTGACTAAAATTCAAAATCATTGCCCAATTTAGAAAAAGGTGAAATGGAAGTCACATGCCAAAGTAGGACATTTGAATTTGACATCTGGCAAAGTAAGATGATTATGGTTTTACTTCCAAGAGCCCTTTCAATCTATAAACAGCGTCAAGGCTCCAAGGAGCTCATCAAGAAGCATCTTGAAATGAAAGCGCAACGGAATTGCTTTCATTCATACAACTCATATCCAGCACATTCTCTTGACCCAGACTAGTGGGTGGAAATGCTTTAAGCAAGATTTTAATGGGTAGGGGGGAAAAAGAAGACAATAGACAGGTGACAATAGGACAACAGAGGTACATCACATGTACAATGACTACATGCAAAGGTTTCACTTGGATTTTGCACAATTTTTCAAAATTTTTCTTGGATGAGAAGCAAAATGTCTTCAAGGAAAAACAAAGGAAATTCAGCTGCCTTTTGAAAAAGCACCTTTGGGACAACCCTGACCTGGATGACTGAGAATTCCCATAGATATTTTGCATAATATAATTACATGGAAAAATAAAGAGCCAATTATCCCAAATCCTGGGAACTTTGTGGACTTGTTTGGATGTGAAACTGCACTGTACTTTTGTTGAGCATCAAAATGTGGTTAACTTCCCTTAACTTCCCTAGTCTACCTTTGTTCTGTCGTTGGAAAGAGAGTGATACAAATATGATTATGGCAGGACAGAGGAGACAAATCACAGCATCAGGGAACAGGAACGTAGGGAATCGGAGAAATGACACTCACCGGTGGGCCAGGCCTGCCGTC